CACTAGAATCCACAATGCAGGAAATAACTTCACGACAGTGTCTAGTCAGGCGAATTTCGAAACAGCTCAATGTCAACAAGGCTTCTGGCCCTGAAGAAGTGCTCGCACCATTATTTTGCAGACTATTCAACCTGTCTTACGAGAAAGGAGTTTTTTCTTCTTGTTGGAAGATTGCTCGCGTTCAGCCTATTCCCAAAAAGGGCAGGAAAAATATTCCAAATGATTATAGACCAGTCGTTTTGCTATCAGTGATATCAAAAACCATGGAGAAAACTGTAAACCACCATATCCTCAAATATTTGAAAGGCTACAACATCTTGAGCGATCATCAATATGGCTTTCGGAAACAAAGATCAACAGGCGACCTTCTATCATATATCACCCATATTTGGAGTAATGCAATCGAGAAACATGGAGAATTAAGAGCTGTTGCGCTTGATATTTCTAAGGCCTTTGACCGTGTGTGGCATGAGGGTTTGCTAGCCAAACTTCGATGCTATGGCTTGTCGGATCATTTCTTTGTATGGCTCTTCAGCTTCCTGAAAGAATGTTCCCTGCAAGTGGTCGTCGATTGATATCTCTTGAATACTTTCACCATCAACGCTGGTGTTCCCCGGGGATCCATATTGTCTCCAACGCTTTTTTTTATTTATTGTATATCAACGACTCATTAAAAAAACAGAATCCAATATATTGCTTCGCTGACGACAGCACACTTGTCTCGTCATTCTATTTGAATTTCAGGACATCGGCTACGGAGGCACATCTTCACCGGTAGCAGAAGGTTGCATATCTTAATGAGGATCTGGAAGTGATTTGGAATGTCAGAACAGACAATTCCGCTTTTTGCTTCGATAGGTTTATTGGGGGTTGAAATGGACACCAATATGTCTTGGCACAATCATGTCGCTGGAATGGCTGCATCTCAGAAGCTTGGAATACTGTTCCGTACCAGAAAACTCTAGACACCTTAACAACTTTTAATGCTTTATAAAGCTCATATCAGACCTTCTTTGGAGTATTGATCTCATGTATTGAGCTCTGTCCCCAAACATATCCAGAAGTTGCTGAATTCAATCCAAAAAAGAGACATCCTCCTGATCGGAGAAGCGAACATCACATGCAACCTTGATAGCCTGGAAAGAAAAAAAGAAAGGTTGGAGATTTGTCTGTCTTCTATAAATACTTACACAGAAAGTGTTCAAGTGACTTGGCACATTTGTTTCCACCAAGAGCGGTACATATCAGAAATAAAAGACAGACTGTAGCTGCTCATTGTTTTAAGGTTCAACTCAGTACACCTCAAACTTTACTGTTTAAGAACTCTTTCCTCTGGAGAACTGTGTTCATGTGGAAAAAACTTCATGAGAACGTTTTTCACAATAGATTTGATCTTCAGCGATTCAAATCCAATGTGAATCGCTACTTTCGCACAGACACAGCTCTGAGAGCGTTTCAAGGATTTCTCTGTACTTCTTCAGTATTCATATGGAAGTATTTGTTTTAAAAGTATTTTCTTTGTGTAATGCAATGTTTATATGAAAATAGCTGTTTCGAGAAAGCTTTTCCGTCCAAATTGTGTCTGAAAGTTAGTTTTTTGCATAATCTACATATCTTTGTATAGAGTTAATTTTTGAAATTGATCGCTTCCTTTCATTCTTTGGAAGATTCCCACATGTTTGTATCTAGATGGAGAAGTAGACAGCCAAAACTTTTCTTTTCCAAAAAAATTTCTAAAACAATTTTGGGTTTCAACGGAGTTTATTTAACCGGTACCCAAACTTTTTTTGCATGAATTCATGCCACAGTTTCTTGAAATTCAAATCCTCGTTTCTGTCTACGTTTAGAAATGAATAGTTGCAATTCATAATGTCTAGGATCAAGGCGACCGATACTCTCAAGCTTTATGAAAACATTTTATTGTTTATTAATCCTTCGACCATAATACGCAAACTTTGTCATTTTCTATTCATTTCGACAATATTTTCTGCATGGATTTCGTAATCTGGATTTGCTCCATCTGTCGTTTATGTCAATAAAATTAGTTATCGTTAAGCAATGCCAGATAAATATCGCTTAAAATCAGTTTCTTTAACTTGAAGCTTGCATCTGGAAACATATTTGACTCTGATGCAATGAAACTGGTGTTAATCGTTCACTATATTTCACGAACTTCTTGAGTGAAAGTCTACCTGGAATGTGTTATATCAACCTGATTTTGCGGCCTAAATCTAATTTCCAAACCTTTTGTCAATCCATTGTAGTAATCGTGAATATTTGCTAGGATATTCTGATAAATATTCGTAAGACACATGAAGACACAAAACACACACATGAAGATACAAAAAAAGTTGTAATTTATTCAAAGGTATAGGGAACAGGGCCGTCTTGATAAATGAAGTAAAATCTCAAACTGGTGAAAAGCATTTGTGCTATTTTACATAGCAGTTTCAACATACTCTTACGCTCTTGATCAACCACGCAAAAGTATGGAAGGGCAGAAGAAACACATATTTTCATTAATTTTGTCTTTGAAATTACAACAATATAACTCGCAGCTTCAAACTCGAAATATCAACTTGAATCTCGAAATTTCAACTTTGAAACTACCACTTCGAGTTTAAACTTGTAATTTCGAGGGAAGAAGATGACATCCCCCCTTACAGACAGTACTGTTTAGACCCACCATAGGTCTTATTAGAGATACTAGGCTGGACCACAATGGACTCTGTAGTGGACTCAGTAGTGGTTCAGTCTAGCACCACTGACCTATGGCGAGCGCTGTTTGGTGTTGAATCATGAATGCGTTGTGTTTGGGTTGGGCCCTAGTTTACAACTAGTTGCTTGACAGTCGACATCGAAGCTTGGCTTTGCAACTTTTCACCTTAGGGACCCTCGTTCATCTTAGATGTTGGAGGATTGAGTTCTCTTTTGATCTCATAGATGGCGTCGTCTTCTAGGAAATAAGTCATCACCCTCACTCAAAATTACAATTTTAATATCAAAATTTTTACTTTAGTCGCGAAATTTCGACTTTTAACTTTAAAGTTTGAGATTGAAGTCGAAATTTCGAAAATAAAGTCAAAATATCGAGTTAAAAGTCATAAGTTCGAGATTCAAGTCAAAATATGTGGACTTTCTGCTTTTCCGTACGGAGGTATAGGTAATAATATTCAATCTGTTGCTTTTGCGGAAATTCGGTGAACTTGATTCGTTACTTCTGTAAGGAACGATATTCTCGGCAAAACTGTAATAAATTATCTTTGATGCCTATTCAATTGAAGAAAGTTTTCAAAACCTATTGTCAGTCAAACTTATCAAAGTTCGATAGTGATGAATGTCAACGCTAACTTGATGATTTTTCTACTGTATCAGTATTCTGATGTGATCATTTATCAAAAACTGAAGTTTCTTGAAGTTAAAATTTGTTAAACTTCTGATTGATTACGGAGAGCGGAGGAAGTGAAAAATCCCCAACAATTTCTGAAACTTTTTCAGTTCATTCCAGTTTCTGATTTTTATTACTCATATAACGATAATAGTCGTTGAACCATATCATTTACTGGGTTGATAGTATCCTAGGTATTAATCCAGGTTGTGAACTATATCTGCCAGATTTCTTCAAAATGCATTCAGCCGTTTTCAAGCATTGAACATCAGTACATTCAAACATACAAACTTTCACATTTAAAATACGCGTTGGTTACAAACTATCTTTGTACCAAATTTCTTTTAAATCCAATTCAACTGTTTTTGCATGACTGAGTAACAGTGATTCAAATATTCAAACCTTAAAACCCCCTTTCAAATGGGCAGTTTCACGTCTCTCGCTCCCGAGAGAAAAAGATTCTTAGCGCCATAATGCAGCGAATCCAATGAAGCTTCCTGACGATGAGTGGGAGCCTCCACGTCTCGGGAGACGAGAGCTCTCACGTCTCGTGCACCTCGAACCGGGAGTCACGTCTCCAACCGACCAACTCTTTGGGATAAATGTCTCGACTTATGGACCGAAATGAAGTAGTAAAAAGTTGGGTAGAAGTCTGCAAGGTGATCAGCGTAGATATCGCATCTTTATTTATCTCTGTTTTTGATTGATTGGATGCATCCAAAATATTCTTGATCATTGACGTTACTGTCGTCGAAGTTTATGTCGATGGTGAAGAAGGTATTTGGCAACAGCTCGCGTGCGATCTATTCTACGACTGAGCACAAGGAGCCAGGTACTAAAAAGGCTTCCGGTGTGAATGGGCGGTAGTTAGGAGTGAGAGACGTGAAGCTTCCCGTGTGAAAGTGTCCTTACAGTTGAATATTTTCATTTTGATGAAAGGAAATGAAGATAGAAATTAGTAAACTCCATTATTACCAAGTAGACCTCAATCCCATTGAAAAGTTTTTGGAGGTCTTATAATGCCTCTCGAAAATGAATGAATTTTTCAGTCCTGAAGAAAAAAATTTGTTTCAACCATATGACCTCAAGTGCAGGTGGAATATTAGAAAAGTGAAAGCAATAACACAAAAGTGTAGATAATTTGCCCAAATTTTTTGAAGGACTTGTCGCAAAATTGATGATCAACCGGAATAAAAACTATCCTGGTTAGCTTTCATATTTAAAATAATTATAGGATGGGTTTGTAAAGGTTATAAATTAATTGTGTACCAAATGTGATTCAAATCATTCCACTGGTTTTTATATGATTGAGTGACAAACAGCCACAGTAACAATATTTTCACCGGGATGGGAAGTATCTTACGTGTTAATCCCAGATTAACATCATGATATTTTCATCAAGAATAAAAAGATCATATATGTTAATTCAGATTATAGTCTATTTGCGAACAAATTTCATCCAAATTATTTTCGGCGATTTTGCATGAATTAGTAACAAACATCTTATCACTCCAGCATACAAACGTTCATATTTATAATATTAGTAGCATGAAAGGACCAACTGCACTGCTCATAAACAGCTGATGTATTATAGCATGAGCATTGTTTACAGAATCTGAACAACTTGTTGGAAAACTATTTAGAGCCTCTCAAGAGAGAAACGTTCCTTTCGAATGCCGAGATCAACGCTCTCTTCGGTAACATACAAGAAATTGTGACATTCCAAAGACAGTTTCTACAGAATCTGGAGGAAGCTTTGGAATTAGAACCGGATTTCCATAAATTTGAATATAGTAGCCAGTTCAGGGTAAGTTTTCATAAGCTAAATTTTGTGAAGAATGATCCAAGGTTGGAATTGTTTCAATTTTGTACATTTGAGAGGTGTTATAAACGAACTTATGCGCATCGATACTAGATGATTGTTGTATTATTATAAATCTGTTTGTTCAATGAAACGATTCTTACAAGTTCTTCAAGTGCCTCTATTTGAGGTAAAAATCTGCATCTGCAACGAACAACAACACGAATGTGAAAAAACACAAAATTTCTAGTTTGAAGTTGAAATTCAACAAAAATCGTAGGTCGAATTAATATTTTTGTTAAAATTTCATTGAACTCCATCTATTTAGGATTGGTTCAAACTAAAATTTTCATAAATTTCATTTTCAAGAAAATTTATTCGATTCCATTTTCAAAATGAAATGATGAAAATGTTGTCCACTTGTTTGGGATCCATGATTATCATTATTAACGTGAACATCAACGTCAAACTCGTATTTCCAGAACTTTCATTGTTTCACGAACAATACTATATCAATAAAAAATATGGTGTGCCTATATAATATAAACGTTGGATTAGCTATTTTTTCAGGCCAAATTATAAGATTGGCTGGTATAAACAGGTAAGTCGATACTACTGATTTATACTCACCTGTTTGTTAAACATATCTTGAATAAAAATGCGCTATGTAATGGCGAAAACGATTTTATAGGTTTGTCAAAAATTTGACCTAAATGACGGTTAGCGAGCCATAATCAGCAAAATTTTGATGGGAGTAAAGATGTCAGAACAAATTATCTCATATGATAGAAGAGGACGCAGAATTGCAGCTTCGCGCAGTGCGTCCCTCCAATGAAAGAGAGTGCATGCTAGTTGTTCGTGTAATTGGGAATAATAGCGATAGACTAGGAAATACTGGGTATTATTATGGAATAGTCCTCCTTAAATGTTGGAATTGAGACAACTTGCTACTACGTATCATTATATATCGTGATGAAAATGGCTAGAAAGTGTTTTATGTAACTCGTACATACTGCCCACTATTCACTATCTGTCGCTTATTTCTCAAGTACACTAACAAAAAACATGCACAATCTCTTTTGTAGCAAATCCTCACTAACAAAACTTTCGCTTTCACAATTCGTCAACTGTTATCCCAGTCACATTTTTCGAATTGAAACGGCGTTTATTTTCATATACGATTCATGTATTCGATGGATGGGTTTGAATTACCAGTATCGATATACCTGCCAATGCCAAAATAGTTACTCCAGGAAGAAATATACAGGGCTATTCAAATTCGTTTCTGTACATGGGGATCTCGTAAACGATGAGAGATACAGTGTCGGTTGAATTGTGGCAAAGTTGCGTATTTTAGAGACCTATTCAATGATGTGAAGATATCTAATATAACTCTTTCGGTTCTGGAGATATAGGTTGTTCGCGTTAAGAAGAGAATGACCTCATTTTTAGTAATTTTGTACATCCAACATAACAAACGTTAAAATTCCGACTGAAATGCGTTCAACAGCAATGAAACTAGTAACATTTCATTTTGTAAGTTGCTCAAATTTCAGACGTTGCCGAATCGAAAAAAACTCGTAAACTGTCTATCTTTCTTTTCTTTTCAGAACTAATCATTTTTTTATAAGACCTGCGTATATTCAATATGCCTGAAGCACTGTCGAAATAATTCCAATTGTTTTTCCTGTATATCTCCATAACCAAAATAGCTATATTAGATATCTTCACATAGGTCTCTAAAATACACAACTTTGCCATAATTTAACCGACACTCTATCTCTTATCGTTTACGAGATCCCCATGTACAGAAACGAATTTGAATAGCCCTGTATACACCAACGTTTATATATTGTTTGTTTATTTTATAAGCTCTATACACTGAAAATTTCAATTAGTCATAGTCTGGCCAAGATTTTTCCAGCCACCTCACTCGCGATCTGTTTTTTAACATATTTCAATCAATTTTACTTTATTATAATTGTTCAGCCTCCAATCATTCTTTCCGTTGCTATCATTCCATAACCCCTGACAAGGTTAATTTTCATTTCATTGAATTTTCAGAACGTCTTATTCTCCATCGGAAGCGCATTTTTATATTATGTAAATCACTTCAAACTATACAGTTCGTTTTGCGCAAGTCACAGCAAAGCTCAAAAAGTCCTGCATCCAAGTGAGTATGCCAATCTAATTTTTCCATCGCACAAAAAGATTTAATGGATAATTATTTAAATTTCAAAGACGAAGGCAACCAGGCGCTTCAAGAGTTCTTGGCGGCGAGAAATCCCAAACAACAACATTCTTCTACCCTAGAATCTTATCTCATCAAACCCATTCAAAGGATATTGAAGTACCCGTTGTTGTTGCAGCAGCTGAGAAATTTGACTGATTCTAGCAGTGACGAGCATCAACATTTAGTAGGTGAGTTATAACAGTTTTGTTATTTTTTAGTCACTGATCATTAACAAAAAATTGTTAATGTAATACATAAATATTCAAAATATGAATTATATAGTCAAATCAGACAAAAAAGTTGTGAATTCTCATAGAACCAAAAATTGCTATAGATATTGGGTTTTCTCAACTCTATACAATGAAGCTGTTCATTTTTTCCCAAATTTAAATTTCATGCCTCTTTTGAGCTCATAACTATATGATGTAGTTAGGAGATTCTCGGCTAATTTTTTTTCTAGGAATTGAAATTGAACCGGAGTGCTGCCGAAACAGGTCGACAAATTAGTCAGGCTTCTGGCCTCACTTTACCGCACTTCCAACAATGCGGTAAAGACCGCACTGTTGGAAGTTTATTTATTTAATTTCATTTCGGAGATTTCAGGCTCGAATATGAGCCCCGAAGGGGTCGACCTAGAGTAATCCAGGACGAGGATTTGAGGAATCAGGTGGAAACTGACCCAACACAAAAGGTGCGTGGGATGGCTGAAGAACCGGGAGTAAGCTCCCATGCGGTTTTTAAGGGTTTAAAACGTATTGGGAAGGTCAAAATTCTAGAAAAGTGGGGTGGTCTCCAATTTGAAAGATCGACAGAAACTGTCACCTTTCGAGGTCTGTTCTTCTTTGCGCAACCAAAACGATTTTTTTTAATCGGATCGTCTCGTGTGATGGAAAGGGGATCCTTGACAACATGATAAGTTCAGGACAGATGGCAATGAGCCACCCAGGCGAAAACTCACCAAAAAAGACCATAGTCACTTTACGGTGGTTAGCGGTTGGTGTGATTCACTATAACTTTCTGCAACCGGGCCAAAACATCACAGCAGAGTCATATTATGAGGAAATTGACGAAATGTATCGAAAATTGCGTCAACAGCAGCCGATACTGGTCAACAAAAGAGGTCCGATACTGCCGCAAGACTACGCCCGTCGTCAAAGTTCTGCCTCACCCACCATACTCTCCAGACCTCTCGCAACCCTACCTTCCAAGTTAACTTGCCAAGTTTTTATGTCAGTGATGGTGGTTGTTGGTGTGTTGGTGGTCAACTGACAACTGCCGTAGCAGAAATTTGGGAAGCTACCCTGGATTACCATCGGAAAACGAATCCACATGTTTCTAGAAATGACATGAAATCGAGAAAGGTTAAGACTGTGAAGCTGCTGAAAAATAATTCCATGAAAATCAAAAGATGAATAGATGAGTACTATTCTGATCATTCCTTTCAATTTAAGAGCCACCGGTAGACAGCTGTTTCAGCCTATTGGGCATTATCAGTACCGGGTAGGCGGTACTCGATTACAGGCAAAATGTGAATAACCAAGAAAAGTACTTGATGAAAATAACTGCGCCTGCCCGGTATTGACGATGCCCAATAGGCTGAAACAGCTGTCTATCGGTGGCTCTTGAATTGAAATCAATATGGGAATAATCAGAATAGTACTTATTCATTCATCTTTCGATTTCATGAAATTATTTTCCAGCAGCTTGACTGCATTAACCTTTCTTGATTTCATATCATTTCTAGAAACATGTGGATTCGTTTTCCGATGGCAATACAGGGTAGCTTTCCAAATTTCTGCTACGGCAGTTGTCAGTTGATTGATAAAACCACCAACACTGACATAAAAACTTGGCAAGTTAACTTGGGACTGGGAATATTTTCATCTCCAAAACTCATTCGAAACGTTCTTCACTCGATAACCATTGAAGAGTAGAGCGACCAAGACCTATTTCCTTTTTTTTGAAATTCAAGTGCCTTTCTGGCAATTATTAGAACTAATACGTTTTTACTGAAACAAAAAGTTCAAGTGTAATTTCTTGGAAGCTGATTTACTGATTTTTGTATTTTTCCTTGTTATCCTTGTTCTCACTTCTTAATGAAAACGTCACCCTACTTGTTTTTTTACTTGCATATGAGGAATACTTCTCATACTGAAAATTTGTAGTAGATTGCAATTGCACATGAACAACAAAATGCTGGTTTGGTCCTCTAATCTTTTCGAGATGACACGTTCCGCCACTTTGCCTAAGGAAAAAGTTGAGCTGATTGGCCTGTAGTTGTCTGGAAATAGGTGGTTCTTCTTTGGCTTCGGGATGTGGATAACCGCTATACCCTTGCGTGATAGGTTTGTTATTTGGTCCGGGACTGGGGCTTCCCGAGTAGCTAGACGTCGTACAATATATTTTACTTTCCCGGGAGATGTTGGGGCCAGGAGTTGCGCGTTGTCCATTCTTTGTCGTCTCAGTCTTCGTACCGTTGCTTCCACCTGTGTCTCTATTTCTTCTACCTCATCTGTGAACGGGGCGTCGTTCTCTCTGCACTGTATTTCGAGGTTGTCGGCGAATGTTTCCGCTTTCTCTAGATCAGTGTGGACGATTCCTTGCTTGCCGCGTATGGGCGGATATGGTTTTTTGGACCCCTTCCAGAGAACTTTCTGCATTCTTCTTGCAGATTGGTCCTCTGTGTTTAATTCTGAAGAAATGAACTTCAAACGTTCAAGCTAGTCTCGAATATACCTACACAGTAGATTGAATGGACTGACGCCTATCAGAAAACAACTACTCCCCTGGCTAATACCACGAAGGGCGTTGGATTATATCCGACAGGCGTCAGTGCAGAAATCTTCACAGAAAATTTCCTGCATATGCAATTCAACTGAAAGATCCGACCTTGCACTTGCAGACCGGTTTAGGGCTCATTAGCCACTCATAAGTGCAAGATAGTGTCCATCATCGACCTAAAGTCAATGATATTCCATAATTGAAAATCGGAATTCTTTCAGAGTATTTCATTCCTCTTCCTAAGCTGGAGCGAACAACAAAATGTCACTCCATCTAATGGACGAGGTATTAACCAACTGCATATCCGTAATTTGCCCGATTCCTCTGAATAAGGAAGAGAAACTTTCTTATTAGTCACTGACTAATAAGAAAACCTCTGTGTTTAGTTCTTCAAGACGGGTTATCCATTGTCTCTCTCGTTTTGCTCGCAGTTCTTCTCGCAGGATTCTGCTGGCCCTGTGCATGCTCCTTTCGTCCATTGGTGCGCGTGTCCTTTGATATCGTCTCTTCAGGCGTCTTCTGATTCTTATGAGCTTCATTGTTTCCGGTGCGAGGTGCTCCTGTAGGTTGAAGCACACGGTGCTTCTCTTGATGGTTTGGAAAATGAGGCAGCCCTTGTCAGCAACTTCGGCAGATTAGTTCATGTTAATGACAAACCTAGATGAAAAGTTCGAGGAATCTCACGAAACGTTAGGACTCATACAAGAAGAGTTGCTGGATGTCGCAAACTGTTTACTCTAGAAGAGGAAAAGTCGGTAATCGCAAATAAATTGGTCCACCTCGAAGACAATCTAAAAGTATTTGGTCTTCAAGCAGATAACCCAGTTAATATTCTTTCGACTTGGGTGAAATTCTATTGATTGAAATTACTTTTCGAACAAGCGTGGAGATATGATTATCATCATACTGGAAAAATTTAAAATTTAGCAAAATTTTCCATAGCCAGTGGTTGCCAAAAAACTCGATAATGATTCTAAGTGCCTGCATGATTCATCAACAGATTCCGCAACAGAGTTACTCGGTAGAAAATCTAAACATATCGTATATGAAACTCTTGTGCTATCGCATGCGAATCAGACAGACGTGGTGTATGACCTTTATCTATTACAAGACAATAACAGAAGAATACAAAAATCTTGCAAAACTGATGCAAAACTCGGTACATAAAGACGAGATCACATATCCCATTCCTTAATAACCTTATAGTGGTTGAAAATGGAGGAACGGAGAATTCCTCATGCACTCAGTTCCATTCAGAAAATTATTAGTAAAATAAAATTAAATTTTGAACAGATATTCATAACTTGAACCTGAGTTACAAAAACATGCTTTATTGGCTTTCAGTATTGGCAGGAGTTTTATAATTTATACTTTTCATAATAATTTTTTTTATTGTAATATAACTCGCATGTGTGTTCAGTGTGCTTTTGTTTTTTAATGTTCATTTATTGCTATTTCGTGCGTAAGTGTGCGCTCTCAAGTGTTCTATCAGTATGTGTACATACTGTATTGATAAATCCTATATGCATTTGTGTGTACATACATATACATATATGCAGGTTTATTGGTTGGATGAAAGAACAATATCTGCCAATGAAACTTCTTCCACAGACAGAAATACTTTCGAGATGGCGCGCTAACATTATCAACCAATGACCACTCCCCACACCGTGGCGTAAGTGAGCCAAGAATGACAGCCTTCTGTATTTATTCGGCTAAGATTTCTGCCTCAGAGTGGCAAGCCAGCATGATCCTGAGATTCGAGAGTAGAGAGAGCATCATTCTAGCAACTACTTCAATAATCAGAACAATTATCTTGACAGAGTAGTCTGGATTGAGTATGTGGAGTTCCAAGAGACAATATCCATATTTTATCCACCTTTCGTGCGATATTCCTCCCGACAGAATCGGAAAATTCCACATCGAATATCATCTTGCTCTGTTGAAACTACATCAGGCTCATTAGCTTGTATGAGCCTGAAGGTATAGAACGAAAAGTTTCTATAGATTTGTTGGGTGGCGGTGGGTGCTGGCGATGAATGCTTGGTAGTCTTTTCCACCAATAAGTGTTGAGCCCACTTCGAAAGTTATCTGGGGTTATCAGGTTGCATAGTTCCTTGAGCTCAGGATGTCGAAGCTCTCTGCTGAAAGCTCAGAACTGCGCTAAGGCTACAGATTGTAAGTTGAGAAGCTGCAGGTCTTCATAAATGCCCTGCCAGAAGGATTCCACCTGATCAGCGGTCGATGGATTATCCACAACACTTGGAGGCCCTTGGAATAAGCGGAACCTAACGTTTCCTACGATACTTCTCGCTCGCCTCACTGCTAACTTTTTAGCAGCCACTATCATTCGTATCCTATCACGGCAGTGCTGTGATGGATGCGTCGTAATTTGGCGTTTATCCGCCATACTGTGGGCGTGAAAGGCCTGTTTGCCGCCTTGTTATCCATCACAAATTGAATACAAGATGCGTGTTGTCTCGCCAACTTGGTCTAAGCATTCACCTTGTGTACCCGCTGTTCAATCTTCCGAACCGTTTCGAAACGCGATTGAACGGCGTTATATACGGTGGAGTGAATTTGACAGATGTCAGCCCCTTCTGTAAAAACACTATGAACCTCTAAAGAAGCCAGGTCTTGTGGCTTCAGGGGCCTAATTCTGTGGAGCGTTCTACGTGTTTTGATCAACTTCATTGGTGGCATGTTACGAGTGTTATAGTAGCTTGGTGGGTCTTCCGGGTGGTTAGCCCTATAGACCCACGGCCGGCACAGGAGGGAGAATAGTGTTTTTTCTCCCGGGTGCACCTGGGCTGTCGCTCCGGTTTTGCACCAGTCCCTGGAGTAAGTGGTGGCGCAACTCACCAAAGGCCTCAGGTGTCAATACTTATCTATTATTATCATTTTCATCATTTTTACTTATGATGCACTGTTTGGAACCTTTGGTGTAGTAATGAATATTACTGCTGTTTTGATCTTCTTCTTTGAAGATGATCACTTGGTGATCGAAACACGTGTCGAGGTGTTGAAAATTTGGTGTTGGGAAAAAACTCCAATATATAAATATCAAACATATTGTTTGAACAATACATATCATTATTTCACTACTTCAACAATGCATCACCATAATCTTTCAATTAGTTAATTTCAAAATCCCAATTAACGTTACTATTTTCTAATTTCTTCATTATAAAAATGTTTCACCTATTGCGGATTTGCTCGTAACGTTGACGCATTACAGTCAAAGGGTTCATGATGTTACCTTGATTTCTCTCAAGGCAACGTTCTGAACGAAATGAAAAGAAAGCCATGATTTACTGTGAGAATTTTCCGTATATTTATTCTTGAGCATGTCGACATTCTCATCTTTTAAAGTGTCAACCATTTTCCATTAAATAAACAGAGGCAGGCAATGAAAGATGTAAATTTATACTTGAATAATTCTAATGTTTTTCGTTAAATTCATACCTCCACATTAATATTTGGATGGTGATGAACCTTCTTATTCAACATTTGTTTCACTGATTGAAGATGTTCTTCTCTTTCAAAATTTCCATTTCTCTATATTGAAATATGAAAATTGAAAGATCAAGAAGTTTTGAATGAAAAACTATTCACAAAAATATTTTTCTTCATAAACCCAGCTCCTTTCAGTATTTTAGCAAATATTTTCCCAGATATTGATAAAAATTCCGAAGCTGTTCCCGCGATTTGAAGATATACGTATACAAAATATACCTACAACTTGATGTTTAAATTATTTTTGATGGCTTAACCTACGATTCAAAAAGAGAGAGATATTTCGAAGGAACCAATATATTAATTTAAAATATGGTATGTATGCACCGCACCGACAAATATTATTGTCAATTTCAGTCAATAGATTTGAGCCCTGGTGATTTATTGTACTACGGGGGTGTAGAATGGTTAAACATCTCAGACTTCCTAGGCAAAATCAAAAAAGGTCTGGAGTTGCACGCCATGTGTTTTGTTTTCAAAACTGCTGTTGTTTTCCTTTGTAAGGAACGATTGAGGCAGAAGAAGAAACTGATGGTGAGTATCATATTGTTATTATAAGTGTTTCACAGTGGTGTTTTTCGATATTTGATGACAAAACATTGGTTATATTTGATTCTTGATGAGAATCCATGACTAACTTATTTCTCAGACGTTTTGAATACGAGTACTAAACTAAACTATACCAATTCAAATATAGAATCAATTGATGGAATTGAAATGACTTTGTTCTAACTATTCAATTATTCAAATCATCTAAAGGAACAATTCGTTCAGGTCAGTCTCAACTCCCTACACTGTAGGTTGATGTACTGACACCTATCAGAAAACAACTACTCCCCTGGCTAATACCACGAAGGGTGTTGGATTATATCCGACAGGTTCAATGCAGTTATTCCTGCATATGCTGTTGGCGATACAACTGCCGCAATAGATTTTCAATCATTAGAACACACTTGCAGACCGGTTTCGGGCTGTTTGGCCACTCGTTAGTGCAAGGTAGTATCTATCATCAACATAAAGCCGAGGATCTCCGATAATTGAAATCGAATTCCTTCAGAGTATCATTCCTCTAACTAGTCTGAAGAGGACAACAAACAACAAGTTTGTCATCGCCCCATCTTCCTGTCAACGAGGTAACCAAATGCATATCCGAAATTTGCCCAATTCCTCATATGCCCAATTCCTATATGTGAAAAGTATTCAATTATGGATTAATGATTCACACATAATAAAACCACTTTCATACATAACCTAATTGAAATATTCCAACCTTTTCAACAGAAGAATTCACTCCTATTTAATTATTGAGTAATTGCTCTGGGCATATTAATTTTAAGCATTTTAAGATTGGTATCAAAACCTTTATAATGGTTTTCCCGATTTCTCCGGGAAAGTTGGGGCAAGATCCACAAATCAATTCACATATCTCCGATCTTTCCGACATTGAAATTTCATCATTTTTGTTTGTTATGACGTTACTTAAGCCATTACTTTTTCTACAAGCTTGGTCCATGTTATTTAATATACATTGGTCAATCTATATAACCCTCCTGAGTTTTCTCACTTGAGGGAATGCCATGAGAATGCCATATGATACCCCATGATATTACTTTCCTGAATGACATTCAAGTAAGATAAACTTTCACGGCTAGAGATAACTGTGTCAAAGTTATTTCCGGGTATATTGGCCGTCGTCTATAGGTTTCGAGACCTGACGATTAGTCCACGACGGTGAACATTATCAAAGTCGGTGAGGTAACAGGCACCGTGTTTTCGTTGGCCTCTCAATATAAGCTCTCAGCATATACCGCAATACAGTGGAATACTTTCTCACCATATATTACGCAGGATCCCCGGGTGTTTTTAAGTGTGAACTTAAAGAATTCCTAGTCGGAGAATGCTTTCATACTATTGAGGAATTCTATTCTTTTCTGTTTTGATATAATATCAAAGGATTTCATAACTTAAATCCATCATTATTGTAATAACTTTGTATTGTTTCGTTTCGTCCTGTTCTAATTTTTGTTTGTCAACTAAATTTCATGTAACACTGACTTGTCTCATCTACTGTTTTCGATAACTGAAAGGATCAATAACATTTTTATTTATCTTACTTTGTTATATATAGTAGCATATATTACTATACAGTATTGCAGTATATACTGTGAGCATAACGAGAACACTGTGCCCGGTAACTCATTATATTTTATGATATCCACCTCAGTCGTAGATTTGAATACCTGTAGATCGCGAAAAATTCGGAGAGTATCTACTAGTAATCAGCAACTTACTAATTTTCGGTGTTGCAATGGCAATTTCAGCTACATTCAATCAAAGATATGCACTGAAGCATGTCATACCAAGTACGCTTCAAGTTCAAGAGTTAACTCAGAAGTTGAAAGTCTTAAGAATCACACAGGATTCAACCACTCAACGAGAAAAATCTCTAATTTCATTCACTTTTTTTTAATGAGCTAATTTCTCAACTAAATTTCACTTAAATATTACTCAACTGAAGAGATACAACCCATTTCCATACTTATTTAAATCAAAATGATGCATTTCTTTTACTTTTTCAGGGAGTTTCGAGCAAGAGCTCTTCATCCGAAGTAGAAATAATTAGGTATCAGGTGCTGATTCCAGTAACGGAAGTTCAAGTGAGGGCTTCTTCGGCGAAGGATATGGATTCTCATTTCCTGTGGGAATTGATACACTTAAGAAATCAATTACAAAGGAGATCAGAGAAAGTCTACGTTCTCTCGAATAGGTAAGATATCGTATCGAAGGATATTTCGTATTTCTTACAATGCTGTAACGTATGTGGATTTCTTATTCATTGCAATTCAATTGAAATTATCATTTTGTAAGGAGCGTAGTAACCAAACATTTCTGTGATGTTCCATTCGAAAACATTTTCTCAAGTCGCCTTGATGGAAAAATTTCAGAGAGTTTCAAAAACTCGTGGAAAAAAAAGTAGATTGGGAAAAATCGAAAGTCACTATCCATGATAATAATTATGAAATTTTCTCACTATTAATTTCATTTTAGACGCGTTAAATTCTGTTAGACTCCAGTCTAACTGATGAAGCTACCGTGTAACGAAACGCCTCTTAAATAAAGATTAATAATGTGAAAATTTCATTAGTATTATCATGGATGGTGTTATTGATTTTTGTAAAGTAGTCAACTAGCAGAAGAAAATAAATTTAATGTTTATTCACAAGTTTTTAATAATATTTTAAATCTCACGTAATTTCCATAATATGTAAGTGAATGGCGAGTACATCTTTTTTTGTCCAACTGTACATCTTGCAATAGATTATGTTGTCTGGTTTCATAATTATGTTTTGAAATTCTTGTTAATATATTATTATATTTCATTGCTTTGTTAATCAACAACTACACAATTTTGAGTATGTACCTACATCATGGAATTTTCTCTCGAAAGAAAAATTGTTACTGCATTAAATTCGTTCTTTTGAGTATTATATGGAAGGCGATACAGACCTTTCAATGCTTTCTTATGAACAATGGAAATTTTCTCCAAAGTACTCTTCTTGACATGTCAACTAACCACGGCAAAACCCATAAACCACTCAAAACATTGACGCCAACCGTGAAAACCTACATTCTCCAGATTTTGTGCAAGTCATTTATTGAGCTCTATAAGGGCAGTTGAGTAGTGTTTCACAAAAAATCAGTACAGAATCTACAAAAACATTCACAAGTAAAAACGTTACAAAAATATTCTCAAAATGGATTTTCAGATTTCAAAAAAGTCTGTATGACGTAATATATTTAATAACAAGTTGAAACATCTTCAAATATTTTTTTGGAATATTTCCTTACACTAGGATTTTTTTCAGATTATCTGGGAAATTGTAATTTTCTATAGATTCTGCAGTAAGAACAAGAAAAATAATATAGTTATGAATGTCAAAATGATTGATGATCTGTAACTTCTTGATATCCATTACATAAAATGAAAGAACTACACCATAAACCGACGAATCCATGCCATTACTGTGTCCACAATTTCGTCTGTCATCCTTTCGCAAACTTATGCATTTATTTGTTGAAAATTTCTTTCGATTATTTCAGAACAGTACTTCGTTCGCTTTGTTCAACTTCCGTTGCATGAATTAATTTCTTCACAATGACAAATGACACATCTTTGTTCATTTATCAAACAATACCATATTCCAAAAACCACAGGAGGAACATTGGACACTACGAAGGCGACTTTCAGAATATTCTTGATTGAAAAAAATGCAACATTTTCAGGTTCTGTTATTTGTATTTCATTCCAAATGATTACCGTATTCCAATATTTATGAAAATTGGTGAAAATAGCTTTAAAATCATTTCAAAATTGTCGTGTTCATAATGGTCTCTTTCAGCACTGCCGATTTCCGAAATGCCTTCTTGAAAACGATACGACAAATCATAAGAGAATCTGTTCGAAACATGTCGATACCTTCTACAAAACCAGGAACGGGCCCAGGAATACTTCTAGTCACAGGTCACAAGACAAGTCATAGCACTAGCCATACTCTCGAAAGACCAGACAGGGTAAAAACAGTAATAGTTCAGGGATCACACACGCTAGGAAAAGTGAAGAAAGTGAGAACCTCTCAAAGACATTCTGCTGGTAATATCGATTACGACAATATAAGCCAAGAAACAGATGAGCCACCAAGTGGAAGTTTTAGGACTAGATGTAAAACTGTTGGAGATGCTGCAGGTAATATTAAACATAATTTGAATTTCTGTGAACAATTTGAAAATGTATAGGTAATCAATTGAATAAGTAAGATCATTTTCAACAACGCCATCAATAAGGACACTCAAATCTCCCCGGTGCCGGTGATGTGATGAATATTTGCTTGATTCTAATTGCGTCATTTCTTTTGGAGCATTCATGTCATATATCACTTATACAATTTCCTCATTTTCGCAAGGATATTTGGTCCAGGTACAAGTGGTACCAAAGCAAACATGTTCATTTTACTATTCGTCGGCGAGACTGGTATACAGGAATGCCGTGAAGAACTGATAGAGCTGACAGACCGGAATAGATTGATTCGGTGTCAGTCTGCAGGTTTTCATGTGCCTGGTTTCGTATGCAGTGTAGATCGCGTAGCGCTGGATTGTCGTGCGCTCGAATTCTGTCAAACGCGTCTTTTGCGTGTTGTCTTATATATGCGTCTACGTAGTGTATGTTCAGGTCTAGATCCCGTAATAAGTACCTATTCGGTACACATCTTGGAGCGTTTACGGCGGCCCTTACGCACGCGTTCATAAACGACTGGACCTGACTTTTGTATGTCGCTGCGCACTAGCCCCAGGCAGTGCAGGTATACAGGAGTACGGTCTCCATCATCAGCAGCTTCACTTTCAGTCCCACTATTATTTGTAATAGGTTTTATCGGTCAGATCCCGCCATTTTTATCCTCTGCCGTACATGAGACCTAATTGTTAATCTTTTTTCTAGAGCGACTCCCAGGTATCTAGCTTGGTTGGTCGACGGAATCTCTTGCCCGTTGAAGGTGACGTTTCCTTCCGTATGTGCCCGCCTCCAGGTGAACAGTATCGCCTGACTCAAGGTTTATACTATCTGCCTGTTGCTGCCAGTATCTAGTGACGTGCGCAAGGCTTGTTGATCTCGCCAGCAGAGCTATGTCGTCCGCGTAGAGAGCCAACTTGTTAAAGTTGTTCTTTGGCTTGGTCACGTGTAGTCGCATGGCTGAGAGTTCTTGTCCTACTCTGCAGCGACATCGCCTGTCAGCCAGAAAAGACTCGAATAATCCTACTATTTGTTTAGTGTAGCCCAAACTGCCCATTTTGGCCAGAAGTCAGTCATGCCAAACTCTGTCGAACGCCTTGGAGACGTCTAAGAAAATTGCTCCGGTGTTGTATCCTTTGCCGAGGTTGAAGCCTTCCGTCGCAAAGTCAACTGCCCTCAGGACTTGCAGCTCTGTCGAGTGTTCTGATCTGAAACCGAACTGTTCATCTGGTATGATTCCTAGTTCGCTGGTTTGGTCCTCTAATCTTTTCGAGATGACACGTTCCGCCACTTTGCCTAAGGAAAAAGTTGAGCTGATTGGCCTGTAGTTGTCTGGAAATAGGTGGTTCTTCTTTGGCTTCGGGATGTGGATAACCGCTATACCCTTGCGTGATAGGTTTGTTATTTGGTCCGGGACTGGGGCTTCCCGAGTAGCTAGACGTCGTACAATATATTTTACTTTCCCTTCAGGCGTCTTCTGATTCTTATGAGCTTCATTGTTTCCGGTGCGAGGTGCTCCTGTAGGTTGAAGCACACGGTGCTTCTCTTGATGGTTTGGATGATCGCCTGTTGTATCTGGTTTGTGGCGTTCTCCAGATCAGTATTTGTTTCGATGCGTGGTATATCTCCTATCGCATTGTGAATGGTGCGCTGGAATCTCGTCTAGTCGATGACTCTTTTCGGGTTGTCTGTTTTCTCATTGCCTCTTCCTATTGTAAATAGGATGGGGTTGTGGTCCAACGATCCTTCATCTAGTACTTCCATTTCCGTAGTATTGGCGCCCCCTGGCCTGTCTGTCCTATATTGTGTATCCTGGGATGCGGAAATTCTTATTACTCCGTAGCCTTGTCTCCTATATTGCCATGACGTCTATGCTCAGACGTGATACATTTCAGAGGTTCGGGCCTCCGCTTTTATTCCATTGGTGGTAGGTGTGGCTTCGTTTCTATTGCTTGAGTTAATTATTCTCATTACTTCATAGTTTGGTGCACTCAGCCAGGTCCTATTTATGTTGTATCTCTTTTCTTTCGGTTGAATTCGTCTTCGTGTTTTCACGTTTCAATTGCTTTCCTAAATAATCATGAATATTATTTCTGTAGAACACTTAGATCTCACGCGATAACAGGAGTGCCTTCTTAAGTTTATATTAGGCTACACCTTTTTTGTCAATATGCCCGAAGCGACAATCTCTCTTGTTTTCGAATAGCCGGATACTTACAATTCTTTTCGTGGTTTTATCGACAGCCACAATAGAAACAAAAAAAGGGACTCATTGATCGTTTGTTGAATATCACCACTTTTGTCACCATTTAATAAACGGGTATTAACAAAACTAATTTAGAATCTATTACGCGATTACTTGCATTTCCTTTCGATTAACTTTTTTTGTTTCATGACATGTTCAGATCCACTGAAAAGGCCCGACCATGATAAAAATGATGCGAGTAATAAATCAGAGGGAGAAGACGATTCTCAGACAGGTGTAATTAAACCAAAAGCTACCTTGGGAAAGACTCCAAATCATTTAACTTTAAGGTAAGTCAAGAACCATCATGGTTATGGATAATCATCAAAATATGATTTTAGAATTGCACTTAGAAAAATACATGTATTCCTAGTCATAAATAGCTGCATCTGAAAGTTATTTTTCAATGTTGATCGGTACTAGACTATGAAATAATAGATTTAGTACATGTCATATGAAATATTAAGTATTTGAAAAAATCAGATATTGCGTTCCAGGAATGGTGAAAGTTATTCCAGTAATATTAAAAATCCAACACTCTCAGTGATTTTTTTGTTAATGTTTTGCAATTCATTTAGGTTATAACCAAAACCTCAGATTCGTTCATTCAATATTATTTTATTCTGTTTCAATATGCTTTTAATGATAATTATCATTCTGTAGTTAGCATTTCCATTATTTTTCTCGCGTTTTCTGATGAGCACTGTTTCACAAACTGTTTCGATTTTTAAATCGATAATACAATATAAATGTCGATCTCTTTTTAATTTGGAAATCATCGATTACACTTTCACTTGAAAGTGTATGAATGCTTTAATCAGTTATAAAAAAAAATTCATTTGTTTCTGACACAAAATAACAGTAAACACTTTTGTCATTACCGTAACCCTGATTATCATTGAAAGTAAAGAAAAACGTTTTTACTGAATCTATGCGTTTTGAATTATTACTGGGAATATTTTCATCTCCAAAACTCATTCGAAACGTTCTTCACTCGATAACCATTGAAGAGTAGAGCGACCAAGACCTATTTCCTTTTTTTTAGAATTTTTTCAATATCATACTTGTTGTCAATCTTTAGTATTTGCAGTTTATTCCAATTCAAGAGGACAATACATTTTCAAAAAAATATCTTCACATATTGAACTCATTCGTAGAAGTGAGATGATATAACCTCAACCTTAAACTGATTATCTCCAGTTCATCAAAAAATCTCAACGAAGTATCGCTTATATTCAATCTTGAATGAGTGAAAGTGTACCCATAAAAATTGAAAATATGGATCGATCAAGCTAATTATGGAATTTCCTCACTGTTGGTACTAAAACAGAAATTTTCTCAGTGTTATTTTAAAAGCAGATTGTTAAAATCGTATGAATTTCAGTACCACCTCAACTCTATCCGCTGGTAGTACCGGTAGTCAAGCAAGACTAATACAATCCTCCCATGCTCCAGAAACATTTCAACCGATGCACGTAGAAGAACTAGGTAAGAACAATATCAAAACCATAATGGCGGAAGTTCACGGTTCGGTTAGTGAATTCTCTCTAAAAGAAACAATTACCAACAGAAAAGATAATAATAGAAATAGTGGTGCCATTAAAAGAGACTACAGTCCTAATCATTCACATAAATCCACCCCTAATCACTCCAGAAGATCCAGTCCTAACCATTCAAGGCGATCCAGTCCTAATAAAACCGCTAAACGTTCCGAAAGTATCAGTCCAAGAGATTCCAGAAAGTCTAGTCCCAAGACTCCTAGAAAATTTAGGGACACTAGTCCTAAGCCTAACGAAAATGCAGGTAAAAGTCCTAGAAAAATTAAGTCATCCCTCAAGCAACCTACGAAGTCTCTGAGCATAGAAGCTCCAACGTGTGTAGAATGTTACTTGTCCGGGAAAACGGAACAACCCGGATAGCATAAGCATAATTACTTTAGTCGTAGAAGAAGCAACAGCTTCGTTTTAACTCGTTTCAGCGGCGACAGCAGTGACGAAATAAAGTGTTGAAGACTTATTAGATAGTAAATGACGTTCTGAATGCTGCCACTCCCAGGTTTACTTAGTCTTATGATTTTTTCTGATTTACCGTAGCACCCCCGCTTTGCTGTAGTTCACTTAGTGATGCCTAATGTCTGTTGGACTTCGATCGACCCTATTTATGTTTAGATTTTTCAAGGTACTTTGCTTCACACCCTCAGTTAGTTTCACGAAGTAACATCATAAACATTGGTAATAAAATGAACAAATACAACAATAACACATGAACACATTTAAACGGAAAACAGATTTTGAAGAAATTTGAATTTCGAAAGAGCTTATGATGGTATATGACTTTATGATAGGAAATCTTGATAAAGATAAAAATATCTTTAACTCATTAGAGGGAATTATACTTCTCAAAACAGGGATACAGGAGAATATTGAACTCACAAATATTCAGGATTTTATTTGAATAACGAACCACAGCAGGTAATAAGTAGGGGCGAAATATATTGAAAGGTTTCATACTATTTTTGATTAATAGTGCGAAATGACCTAATAAGGCGATAGACATTCAAATAATAGTTGAAGTTTTAGTTGAAGTGTTTCTTGTATTTAAAGTGAAATAATATTAAGTTTGATTATTCAGTGTAGTCAATTATTGTTCAACCCACGGGTAAAAACGTAACAATATCATCATTAGGGCTAACAGAAAATCAGTTGTCTCCTCATACAGAAATCATCCAACCCAAGAATAGAAATATAGAAGGAATAATGATAAATATATTACGGTTGAGCGAGTGAACAAAGCACCCACGACTACCGATTGACTAATTGGACTCTTCAGTGGTTTCAAAGAGTATAAATCAGTTTTTTCATGCGTGCATCGCTAATCAAGTTAGCCTTATCAGGATATAACTAATTCAAATTTCTAACAACCAAATTACATTCTCTTCCGTAGGAGGGTCATTAAATGAATTCTTGCTAATTATTGTATTAGAGATATGTATTGCAACACAATTTCTAATTGTTATGTTGACTACTTTCTATGATACCTTCTAAGTTGCCTAGTTGCCTGATTGCTACTTGTACAAAGGCAATAAGTTTATAATCTGATGCAAAACTGATTACTAACATTTAATTGAGAAAGGTCTCTAAAATAATAAGAAACACACCTCCTAGAATAAGTGGAAAATACTCTCAAGAAGTGTATAACCAAGAACCTGAACACATTAACTTTGGGCAGAAGTTTGATAACCTAAAGTTCCTACCGAATATTCGTATTCAAGATACACAATTCAGAATCATTATGGATATTCGAACACAATAGTTTATCATGTATTAAGTCAAGCTACCTTCCGTAAACCAATTGACAAAATATTTTCCTGGAAACACTTCAGATCTAGAAACAATATGGTAACTTAAATTGTTTTTGAACAGGTCTGTTCATCACTCTACTATGTCAACCACGAGTATATACTTTACGGTATGTGGATTCGGTAGAACTCCTTATGAAACTTATCATTCATTGAACTCAGTTGGTACCTAAATGAAACTGAGATTGCACGTAAGAAGATGGTGCTCTCGTCGAATCTAGTTTCCTTCGACATTGGTTACGTCGATAAACTAAATATAACTGACCGTCTTAATGTAATCAATGGTAGACCTGAAACTTCTGAACTACAGTTACACTGTTTGTTTTGGACGTCTTAATGTAACTCAAATCGCCGCAGCCTGTTCGAGTTTGAAACATCTCAAGAGAAACATCTCGGAAAAAAAGTGTGTTCTCCATAGACTATCGATTGTTTCATAGTGTAATAAAGTATACAAAATCTTCAGCATCTGAAAGAACAAAAGTTGATACATAACTCCTCGGGGTCTGAATTTTCTTGGGCGCATACAGTGAAACAAATTCAAACTTGAATCTGAAAAAAGCACTCAATCATCTCCTGATAATGCTAACTTGTTTAGCAAAATACTCGCCAAGAGACAGTGTTTTGGTTCTAGTACAGAAAAAGTGTTTTCATCAGATTGATTTTACGTCAGAGGGTTTAATTTTACCTGTCAAATTCAAACTTGGTTTGCTTGAAATTGGCTTCAGCTGCTTCAGGACGTGAGCTCAATCGTGAGGTAACGTGTACTAAGAACATTATTAATAATGTTCGGAATTGAATTGAACGTTTTAGTATAACTCATCTACATATCAGGTTAGACGATTGCAGGAGGTCAAATACACAATAAAATATTTCTATCAAATATCCATTGTGGTTCTTTATCATAAATTTAATCGGTTAATACTCGATTATTCGAAAATGTCATACTTTTGGGAGCTTCGGCATCTTGGTATCGCCATCTTGAAAACTTTGTTTTTTTTGAATTTTGTCATTTTGTGTCCATGGACAGTTTTGATTAAATAAGATTTACGAATTATATTTGATTTGACCTTTTCACTATGCACCTCTATTGTCTCTGTTGCTGTGAAATGTGTGTATGCTTTTGAGAAAAAAAGGTTGTGGGGAAAATTGAATCAAAATTCTTAACGGGTTGAGAAATAATAACACTTCAATTCCTTCAAATATCATATCTGAACGCAATATGCTCACAAAATTAACTCGTGAACTCATAGTGTGAAGCGAAAGTACCACTCACCTTAATTTCAAAAACTGATCCAATATTGTTTTTATAGGGTCGCCCATATGGAAGCCAAGAGACAGTAGTATAGAGCCGACCTCTACCACACTCCCGCGCAAGGCCAGAGATCACAATATGGCTGAATTTAGCGCATCGCGTAAGTCTCTGATAGAAACCAGCACAGGCCTGGAGATACACAATACGTACAATCAGCAATAAGGCCAAGACAAAGAAAGGCTTACGATATGGCCTTCTTTTCTGATAAAAAACCTGACTGTTTGTATGATACGGTGTTTGAGTATATAGTGCTGTGGGGAGTTTCCGGGGTTTGAGCGGCTTTGCTAAAACGTATTTTGAAGCCATTTTTAGTTTTGCTACTCAGATTACATGTGCTCTTATTAAGAATATTCACACAGACTATGACAGAATCAGAATCCACGAGTGAATACACTCAAAAAAACAAATAATTTTATGTTACGCCTATAAAAACTATTCAATAATTATGAAAAGTGGAGAAGCAAGATTGAGATCATATATTCAGTCATATTTACTTTCATTATTTCCCCAAAATTGCAACGTTACCTGTTCCAAATATGTTACGAATACATATCAGAACATCTTCGGAAGTGATCGGTACTTTTCAGGGATGGTTTATTTATTTGTTTGTAGTTCGCTAATTTCAGAGGTTTTTCCAACGTTTCAGTTGATATTATCAAAAATCGTTAATGGTCCTTCGTTATGAAAGGTGTCTGAATTTTTTATTTCAATACAAACAAAAACGAGAAGCTTGATGATTCGTCGATGCTACCTTCCTCTTAAATTTCTCGATGTTGCTTTCTGATTTGTGTGGATGATAATAATCAGGCACAAAGTAGACAGTGATTGGTTTCCTCAAAATGTTATATAGGTGGTAATTAAAATTCATACTCATATTGTTTACTGATTACTATCATTGGAACGGTTGAACTCTTTGGGAACTTCTTATTTATAGATATTTTCTTGTTTTCCGATATGATGCTGCATCTCATTCAAGTGTTTCTCAATCAAAAATAATTTAATACCTATCTGATTTGGAAATAACGCTGTAAAAACAATATTCCAGTTTGTAGCGTTTCTTTTGTCTATACAGTTTGATTCTGTTAATAGCAAAATGAATATATTTTGTCTATGGATTCGTGATGGTAATATTTGGTATATGTTCAAATACAAGTCTGTATGTTTTAAGTTGCGATAGAATAACACAAAAGCGAAACAAAATCATCTGAACCACTCAAATAGAGGAAGTCCCGTCAGCAAATCGATAAACTATGATAGTATTTTTCACTAAACATAGTATCGATGACATTGGAAAAATATTGAGAATACAAAAAAAAATTTGAAACATCCATAGAGTTTTCAAAACACAACCAATAATATCGTCTTCTCTATGGAAACCTAAAATATCGGTGATCAACTCTATCAAAATATAAAAACAACATTGAGTTGTTCAATTCAGCTACTCAAAAGTTGAAAACGAAATTTGGAAACCAAGGAACATTAAAAAAATATACGCGTGGAATTCAAGATGTGATTGAATCATCTTTATTTTTATTTTTTTTTTATTATTTTTGCACAAAATCTATGGTGAATGAAGTGATCTCTTCATACAGAGGACACTAACCAACTTGGTCTAATGTGAAAAAAAGTAAGTTTCAAGTTCAACTGTAATTAAAACACTATTTTACTATATCTTTACAAAATGTATTCTCTCATGGATTCAAAAATTACACAATGAATGGAATTTGTAGAAATAGCCTTTTATAATATGAAATCTGAGTCAGCTTTATAAAGCTTGATTAAAATCATTACCAAACAAACTGTTCGTTATTATTCCTCCAATTGCAAAATGAACAAAGACTATTCATTCCAAAAATTTAAAAAAAAATTCTATATTTTTACCATTTTCATTCGTAAGTAATGTTACTGCAGTTAAGTCATATGATAATATTTTCAAACAGTTGCAATAAACTGTTTTTATAATTTTGATATTTTAATTGTTTAAAAATGTCCTTATAGAACGAAACTGCAGTAACATCAGTTACAAATAAAAGTGGTAGAACACAAAGAAAGTTTTATTTCTCAGTTTTTATGATGATCTTCTACCACGTAGTAGCTGTTACATCAATCAAGTCACTATTTATTTGAGTTCATAGCTTTTCTCATATCCAGTGTGTAAATTCAATGACAAATGGTTTTTAAGCAATGCCCTCAAATTTCACCATGTGTGTTAGTAGTATAATACGAAATGAATCATTGATCTGCTTGAAATATAAAAAGGACTGTTTAATTAAAGAAAACGAATTGTTAATTATGTAACGTAATGGTTATATTGTTAAATATATGTGACACTTCTGACTGAACATTGTCACTGATTAATATTAATTTCTTCACACAAAAAAGAAAAACTTAACATTTAATTCAGCAAAACGTAATATAAGAATATTGATTTGTATCATTTTTAACTAACTCATGTTATTGTACCAAGAGTAACTCAGTATACAGGGCGTAAACATTTTAGATATATGCGTATAATTAAAATCTGTAGAATAATTTTTATTGCATACATAGATAATATTTCGTTATGGAGTGAAAATATTTATACGTGCCGAAGAAATTTTCATTATCATTTTGGATATATATTAATTTTATTTCTTCAAAAGAACTAATTTAAAAAACAACGAAATATTTGTTTTTAAACCTCAAAAAATAGTTCAATGTCGAATTCAGTTCGAGACTGCAAGTTTTGGCAGAAAAATTTCAGAAATGTACTGGAGATATTAATTGATATATTATTCTTATTCTGTCTGAAATATACTCTGTCTGAAATAATCTTCAAGTGAATTAGAGGGTCATATGCATGAGGGGCGAAGTGGATGAATTTTTTGTCGAAAAGCAAAAAGTAAAAATAATTTGAAAAATTCCAGAATAGTCCAGTCACTGATCTTTTTCCGTATAATTTTGACAAACATCGCCGAAGTTCACAAAGTTCAGGAATGGTTAGTGACTGATTTTTTGGCAACATATATATATATATATATATTCGGGATCAATAGTATAATGAAACTTTTTTGGTTTCGGAATTTGGAACTTCAGACTTGAAATAAATCCATCGATAACACTTTTCTCCACCGGAACAATAATGCTATCTCTCAAAGCGCGTTTCGCGATGATGGTATCGCTAACCAGTTTTAGTAATCTAAAAAACAGCATTTTTGTTCTGGTAAAAAAAAGTTTTTCAGTTTTGTCTTTATCAGTTTTTGGAAGATTCCTACTTTTTTGTATCAATATGAACATATGCGACTCATTAGTCACAAAGCTACCTCTTTGAAATTTTTATCCTTATTACTTTTTTCTGGGTTAGAGGAATATACGGTTGTAATTTTCGTTAGTAGGTACCTTCATACAAATTATTGCGTTTTAAAAAAGAAAGTTCATTTTTAGTAGATGTTTTATCGAGGCAATCACCTGTAGGTTCAATTTTCTCTCATTTACACAATCAGTTTCCACTCAAAATGGTTAAATTCCAAACTAATGATTCACATTTTCCTGGTAAAAATGTGGTACTTGAAATAATCGAATCATTGACTTTTTCTTAGTCCACAATCCTCATTGCTTTCCGGTTATACGAGTATATGCCTACAATAGACATCTCTCCAAACTCATTTTATCTGAAAATATACCTACTGGTATTGAACATAGGTACTACTTATTGCGAAATATAATCTACTGGGTTAAATCCTATTGAAAGTACCCCTTGAGTATCTTTCAATGTTTAAACACCATCTTATAACTTAATCGAAACTGACAGTGATTGAAGATGATTATTGAAATTTGAAAGAAATCCCCAACCGAATAGACAGTCTTTCAAATGTTACAAAGATTTCAAAATTACTTTGGATCTTTTGAAAAACGTGTTCAGTATTCTAAACTTCTTTCCACGAACTCAATATAACGTGGAAATAGCTAACCCAACTTCACGTCTTATTTTTGAATAATCCTTACTCATACTTAAACTTTATACTCATAATTTATAATTCATTCTTATTTCATTTTCGAATTTCTCTAACTTGAACAAAGAACAAACACATGTAGAAGTGAAACTTCTACATGAATTCACTTCCCTGAACCAATTTTCTTTAAATTGTCTTATCTCATGGTATACCGTCCTATAAAATATTTTTTATTTATGAAAAGTGAAAGAGTCTAATCAGGACCAGCTCCATTGCAATCAAAGCTGCTTTTTCCATCCACAAGTATTTCATTATTTTGTTTTGAAAGGTCTTTAGAAAAAAATCAATTCAAAGAATAATTTAACAACAAATCTCCGAATTGGAATATTCATGGATCGATACTTGAACGTATTTGAAATATACTTTTGATGCGAGGTTTTCACTTGACAGATTTATACTTGTTCGTTCGGATATTGGAAATTTCTTGTGAGCACAAATCTTTTGATTTCAGATGTTCAAACACATATGTCTATGAGCTATTTGTTAACAATTTAATATACATTTATTTGCCATTTAAAATGGTTGGACTTTCACAAAAACCCTATTGTAATTCGATACAATCAAGTAAATCAGTAGATAATTTAAATGTCTCTGCAAAGTGAGCCAAAAAAATGTTATCATACCAAAGTACATTTTGTTCACATATACCCGATTATCTTCATCACTCATTTTTTTTATTGAGAGACTAAAATCATTCGATCATTCGAAAGTGGATTTTGGCTTGCTTTGTTATTGTCATTGTTACCATTATTATTGAATATATAAAAATTTAGTAATAGTTGATCCGTACGTAGATTTAATGAAATAGATGTGTATTTTCAAAGGAATACATGATAGTTCAATAATTTAATAATAACGATTATGACCTAGAACTTGTAAATGAGATTAATAAAATATGTTGATGTATTTTTCGAATGATTTTTTTGAATCGTATTGCAATAATAAATACTTCAAAAATATATACAAATATTCTCAAGTATATAATATCTTGTTTGAATAGGTACCCGTTCCAAAAAATCCGAATTTTTCATTCAACAAGTTCGATACATTCTTTTCATTCTATCTCACATGCACATATCTTTCAAATGTAACCATCATCAATGTCATTAATCAACATATTTCATTAACGAATTAGATACACGTTTACAAAGAATATCCAAATGTCAAATTCTGGTGTCATAAAAAAGAAAGTGACATCGCACAATTCAGTTACAAAACTTCTACCATTTCCTTTTAACTTGGTGCATTTATGTTTGAAAACAGCCAAGTTGCTCAATATAACCTAGTTATTTATATCATTATATTGAAATGGTTTTCGACATAGGTACTTTCGTATATATATGTTATAAAGTTATGTTATATTTATATCTGAAAATTGATTTATATAAGAAAACCAAGTTAGGTATAAGATATTCCATTTAATTTTTCCATTGATAGAAGCATCTTTTGTGAAAATCAATTACTTTGTAACCTGAAAATTAGTATGGTGAGCCGGAAATTGAAGAAACGAGTGCCAAAAATCAAAAAGAATCGAATTTAAAACGGTTGGGCAAACTACACTCATTTTCTTGACATCATCACGCTGATTTTTCTCAGTTTTGGTACTTTAGAAGTAAGAAATTCCTGTACGTCTGTATGTATGTGAAATCAACATAAATGTGCGTATGTATGGACCTACGAAAAGGAAAACTTCAATTATACAAATAAAACGATGGTTGGTGTTTTTTTTGTAAACTTCACATTTCCTGCTACTTAGCATAAAGAGTTCACCAAAAATAATTGAGGTTCTGTTACAAGCTTAGCTTCGACATCTCCGCCGAAAAAAAAATTCTATTCATCTGGGGTAGTAACAACTGTAATTCGGCGTAATAGGACAGTAATCTATAAGAACAATTCAGAAAAGTTGGCGGCCAGTCTTAAGCCCTCTTCCAAAATCTTTAATTTTATCATGATAAAAACTGTAGCGCCAGCCTTCTTCCAAAATCTTTAATTTTTTTATGATAAAAAATGTAGCGCATGCGTACCTTGCCTTACAAATTGAAAGCATCTACCATATGAAATTGGGTGATTCTGGAAAATGGACCGTGGCCGTTTTACTTTTCAGAAACAGCATTGAAATTTGATTTCATGTCTTCATTTTCTAAAGCAAAATATTCTTCTTCGAATATGTTTTCCTTAAAAAAAACTATTCATTCATTGTCCTCGATTCATTTTTCATTTCATTCAATAGGTTAGATATTCGATAACTCATCATTGCTCAAGGCCATAAAGATTGACACGTTTTGTGTTTCAATTTCAACGAATATTCACAATGCAAGCTGCAGAAACAAGGACTGTAGCAATTCCACACTTCTTACGATTCAAGTCGTGGCTTTTGACACTGAAGGTCTCTGCCCACTATACCTTACCAACTATGGCCGTGCTAGGATCAGTATCAGTATCAGACACAAAAAATAACACGACACGGTTTACCTTGCCCACTGTAATGAATCAACCGTAGGTATTCTAAGCCCATAAGCAACACGTATAATGATCGTATCATACGGGTATGTGGACCGTTAGATACCCCTTTAACAACTATAGGTAATGTGAAGTATTGTATGTTTTTCCGGCTCACTCATCAGTTTAGTGTGAACCTGAAGAAAATTTTACCACGAAAAACGAATATGGCTATGAGATTATCTACATTTCAGTAGAATGTATTGCTGAATAAAATTGAAAATGATTTACAACTCGTTTATACACCGTTTCGCTGCCGGAGACCTACGCTTTAGTAACGTCACGTGTCATGCACGTTGCGTATCAGCACCGGCAAAATATTTTCGACTGGAATACTGTGATGGCACGTGCATGCCACGCTACGTGCCGGACCGGTGACGGAATGGTCTGGTGGGCGTTGGTTCATATATAAATCGTAT